ATTATAAAGAGAGCCAAGTATATCTTTTGTCCTCAAATTTAAATTTAAATAAGTTTTTGACAGTGTTTACTTCTCTGGCACCTTTCTATTAAGAGTAGAGACACATAAGGTACAGAAAATGTAACCAGTCTCTTGATTAGTGGAGACTAGATTTGATAGCATCTATTAATTGGCAGCATTCCTTGTGCATTTTTGACTAAATGACAAGTTTCTGCTGTACCAGTCATTGTTTAGTTTTCTAAATTTTTTGATATGTGTAGTCTAAGATTTCTTGGTATCATTTGTTAATTTATCAGGATCAGAATCTATGTTTCACCAAATACGTGCAAGACTTTTCATCTAAATATGATGTTAGTATCTTCCTCATTGAGTTGTATAAATTAAAAGATATATGTAAAGCCCATTAAGAATAGTGCTAAACACATAAAATATATCTGCAGAATTTCAGCTGTTGTGATGATTATTATATCAGGAAGATGGTCAGTAGTTAGGAACGTAGGAAATGGTAGCTGTCAGTTTTTACTACAAACAATACAGATTATATGCTGACTGGAGGAGAATGAGTCTTGGCTCAGATTTTGGAAACATCTCACTAGGTTCACAAAGAGTCCACTTGGTATCTTCACATGTAAGAAAGAACAAGAGGTTGTAAAAATGCACATCCTAATTTCCTGTAGCTGTTACCCAGAACCCTGGGCCAGATCCCAGGCTATCTGTTGGTTCAGTCTATGAAAAGACATAGAAAAGAAAAAAAAGGGGGTCCTCATGGGTGGAAGGATAGAGAGGCCAGTCCCTGAAACAACAATGGTGAGAAATCTTTTGTCAAAGGGAGCAACAAATCACAAATTAAGGCATAGGAGAAGCTAGAGAACTAGACATACTAGGCATCACATGTTGCTTATAACTAGGATACCCAAAGGTAGAGAGATAAGTGGATTGGGGGAAAGAAAAATGCTTAGTGTGGAGCAGTGAAGATGGATGAGATATGGAATAAGGTACAGACTTCCTGGCACAGATTCCCTGAGCCCAACTTCCCTGGAGGAGGAATTCCCTCCCTCTCATGTGGGCTGTGGCACTATCACTACTGAGTTAGAGGCATATGGTTAAATGAAGGGACCTATTTGTATGCCGGTAACTACCTGTCCAACATGCTAAGGACAGCCTCAATTTAAAGCCATTCTCTCCCCTGCAGAGTAGCTTGATAAAACTTTGTAGGTTGTACGCCCTGACCTTCATTACTGAAAACTAGCTTTTAAAATGTTACTTTGGGGTGGCTAGACAAACTAAAGTGAAGAGAGTTTTAATTTTCTTCTACCTAGTCAGAAAGGGTATCACAAAGAAAGTAAGAGAATAAAACAATTTAATTAAAACAGGGAGATATATTGGTTCCCAAAAGAGAGCTCTGTTTGAGTCTTGCCTGTCCACAGCCTAGGTGCACTAGTGCAGGTTGCCAAGAGACAGCATGTGAGACACAAGGTTTATTGATGCCTCCTTACTAATAGGGATAGTCTAGGGGCAGCTAGCTGTACAGGTAGCACTCTGCTACTTTCACTATGGAGGGAGGTGCTTTATAGTTCAAGATACATAATTATTGATGGGATTAGATTGCTTTGGGCTTTTGTATGACCAGCATTCCGGTGAACAGCTGCCTTTAGCATACATGCAGAAAAGAATGCTTCTTACAGGTATCACTTGTTTGCCCAGTTCCTTCAGTTAATACTTATCTGAACATTCCAGTCTGGGACTGCATTTGTCCTCTTGACTTGGCTGGAATCTTGCGGATGGAAAGGGGCCATGCCATCTCAGGAACACGATGTTTTGATGTCCCTTTTCCTTTTCCAGGGTAAGGCACTCTTACAGTGCCTGCCATGCGTCTGAGTGCCTTACACTCTTATCACACATGTCTTCCATGGATCCCCCACAGCAGATCATCAAAGTGTATAGTATAGCTAAATTCCTCAGCAACACTACAAAGAGCAACAAATTAAAACCAGCCCTGTTCAAAGAGCAAGCAAATCTTGAATCAAATTGAAGAATCTCAGTATGAGAACTAGTAGGTTCCCACTTGGGAGCAATGGGCACTGTATCCATTTCTTAATTGTCAAAAGTCTTAGAAAAGCAAGTTCAGGTTTTAACTTTTACCAGTATCACAACAACAGTGTCAAACTGGTTTTCAATTTCTTCAATGGGATCATCTACTCTGATTTTTTTTTGCTTTTATTGAGTTTATTGGTACATTTTAGGTATACAGCACAGTTACATTCATTATTGGGATCTTGTACCTTTACATGACAGGTCTTGGTTCTCATTTTTTTCCCCTTGTCCGTGCTCTCCCTTCACTCCCTCTCATCTACTCTGATTTAATCATGGCATGTTTTCCTTTTTGTTACACTTACAGGACCTTTTATTGCTCTCTTTTATCTCAAATCTTCTGATCTATTCTCTATGCTTATCATTTTTAGCCTTCTCAGTTTTCCCCTCAACTGTCCATGGCTTGTGCCATTTGAGAAACAGTGGGACCTCCAAGTGGCTTGGGAATTATATCAGAGGTCCATAAGAGTGCCTTGGGGCCATTTGGAACATGTTGTCTTTCATTCCTCCTGTGAACCTTTAATTATGTGGGGCTTATGTAATTTGCCACATAAATAATTCATTCCTCATACTCTTAGGAAGTACTTTAATTCTTCCATAGGTTGCCATTGTGGCACATCATAGATAAACTGCTCCCCTTAGGCCAAACACCTTTACAGTCAGTTGTCAGCCAGACCAACAAAGAGGTGGCATTGTCTTCCTTTATGGTTGGGTGCAAATGCTGCTGTGTGTAGGTGTTTGGTGACAGAGGTGGTGATCATCAGTATTTCTCATATGAGCAATACAAGGTCAGTAGTTTTAGCTTAATTTATACACCCTTCACACTGCAGTTTCAGTTACTCCTAAAGTTGACATGGACTTGGGCTTCAGCTTGGAGCTCAGCCACTGTTACTGCCCATAACTCTGTGAGAAACGGTCACTCTATGACTGCTGAAATCGTATATAGCTCTTTCTTTTTCTTTAAACCATGTTGCTCATTAACAAACAAACTTTTCCATTATTTTCGTGGTGATTTGGGGCATTCTTGTGCTCATGCAGCAGTCCCCAAGCATCTATAAGACTGCTGCCCATTCCCCATATGGAGGTAAAAGGCTGACCTGCAACTTCCATGTTTTTTTTTTTGCTCTTTTTAAGCTCCTCAGTCTCCAGGCTGGCTCATTCGTTGCTCTGTCTGCAACCTATCAGTGTTAGGGCAGTGGACTAAGTTGAAGTGAGGACAAAGAATTTACTAGGAGATACACACAACACGTACGGTTTGTTGAAACTTACTAGCAGGGAGAATCTAGTGGTAGCTGGCTGGACAGGTCACTATGGAAGGAGGGGCTTAAGCCACACAAATGTTGATGCAGTTACTTTCATTTGTTCCTTTGCAGCAGGCAGTGGAACCACTGAGCTAAATCCCTGGCCCTTCATTTGTTCCTTTGTTTAACCAGCATTCCAAGGAACAGCTTCCTTTAGCATACTTGTAGAAAAGAACACTTCTTATGGACAATGCTTGCTCATTTCCCAATGTACATATAAAGGAGTTTGTATTCTTTCATATAACACTTATATGGACATTCTGATCTGGACCTGTTTTCACTGTCCCTGTGCTTTGGCTAGTTTAGGGAATAGCAAGGAACTTGATGTTTGATGTCCCTCCTCCTTTTTCAAGGGTCATACAAGTGTGGAAAAAGGTCATAGAGAGGGTTGGAGACAAGGAAAGTCTGGGAATTTCTTTGAAGAAATGGGTCTAAAAATTGTCCAAGAAATATAGGAAGGGGCTGGCAGCTCCAAATTGGACATTACAAACTAAACTTCTGACACTGGATTGGCAGGGTGAAGGTTGAGGAAACTACAGATTATTGCACATCAGGCTGTTAACAGATAATACCTTACTTAACCACTAGAATGAAAGAAGGCAGCAAGACTTGGCTTTTTTGGTGGGGGCTGCCTGGAGTCTGGTTCAAGTCTGAGCCTCAGGTGCTAGGGTGTGTCTGTGACATATTGGGCAGGGACAATAGTTACCTTGTAGACACATACACTCTTGCAGATTTTGGATTTGTAGAAACCAAAAAGAAAGCTTTTCTTCATTCTCCCTAGCTCTGTTATACAGCATTTGAAGATGTGAACATTATGAGGAATAGTGCACAAGTGAACAGAGGTATAGTGGTAACTTATTCCATTCCTCTCCTGGCTCGTCCATCCAAACTCCTCTCATCAACTCATGGCTTTCACCACTGAGTGCAAAGGTGTTGCTCCCGTTGTTCTTCCCTCAGCCACGAAGACAGGGGACAGAGAAGCCACAGTCTTCAAAGAGATGGCCTGTAAGTTGCGCAAATCTGTTCTTCTCATATCCTTTTGGTAGAACTTAGTCATTTAGCCACATGTACCTGAAGAAACCAGCAAATATGCATAGCTGGGTGGCCACATATCCAACTAGAACTTGAGAGTGTTCTGTTCCTAAAAAGAATAGGTGTGTAGATAACAGGGAGGTAGTTGATAGCCAGTTATTGCCATGTAGCATATTCACATGTTCAGCTTTATAACACAATGGCCTATTGTCCACCACTAACTATTCAGTTAGGGTGAGTGTTTAGATTATGGTTAGGCAGATAAAACTGAGGCAGGCAGACATATTCTGAGGCCTTTGAAAAAGATCTTTTTACCAAAAGAATTATTCAGTTATAGTTCATAATTTTCATCCTGGGAATCTTATTTATAAAATTGAGCCTCAAGAGAGATCCAAGTCTTTTTAAAATAAAAATCAGTGAAAAGCTGACCTACAAAAAATTTGAGAGATTTTTATCAGACCTAAGGAATGTTCACAAAGTCAGTTAACACTTGGATACAATAGGGAAGACGGAAAAATTGGAATCTGAAATTATTTTAAAACAAAAAATTACAACACATTGGTTTGCTTTTTCCTACTTTTAGTTTCATTTCTTTTGCTGAGATTATAAAAATGTTCAAAGTAAAAGTCAAGAAATGAGCCTATTTCTAGCTTTTATTATTTTATTTGTTCTTATTCTTTTTTGTGAGAAATTTGCAAAGCATATAGCATTTAGCTATCTCCTTGTTGCTCACACTGAGAAGTAGAGTCCAGTAAAAGACCTATGTCAAAGGAGAAAAGTTTCTGTATTTTTCCCTTCTTAAATTTGCTCTCCAGAATTTGCTTTATATGAAAATAAGAATAATAATCTACAGTTGCTAGCTACAAAAAGAATCCCAATGAAGTTACTCACAATTCTTTGCCAACTCTCTTAACTTTAAGTCAATATGATCTACCCTTGATTATAGTTAAAGAGACAGTACGGATGGTGTCATCCACTCAGAAATGTCCAGAAAGCTTGATAAAGATCATAGTTTAATGTTAACCCATTGATAGGAAGCAGTAATAGGAACATTATTGTAGCAAATTCTCTTACAAGCTTTGCATCCTAAGGTTTCTAATACCAATTTAAAATCACTTTGATTCCTCTGGCACCACACTGCACAACTCCAGTTCTAATGCCTGGAGTTTTAAAGATTACCTTCTAACTTGAAAGTTCCCTCTACTCTCAGGTATAGATGCATTTTGCAAAAGACTAGAAGAACCCCTTTTGTCATCTCTCCTGTTAGTGTCAAGTTAAGTGCATTCAGCTTGTCATGTGGTCCTCAGCTTGGCATTTAATGGATCATGGGCAGCTGTGATAAAGGCAGCCTGCTCAGGAAACTATATGATTGTAGACCACATCCAAGAGAATCTCAAAGACAAATACTAATAGGAAGCTTTTAGCTCTTATTACATCATCCTTTTAAAAGTGGCTTGTCAAAGGCCTTGAAAATAAGCTATTTTGTGAAATAACACTTCTATCTACTTTCTTTTGTTTGAGAACAAAGGTCTGGGTTCATTTATGCAGTTTGTTAGAAAAATTATAGATCATACACATCTGACTACTTTCAATGATAAATGTTTATTTCTAATGTTATAAAATTAAAATGGAAGAAATAATTTCACACACTTTCCACTGTTTTTTTCGTGCCATAGATTTCTACAGGTGTCTTAAATTGGTGAACATTTTCTCTATTTGTTCATCTGTCGATAAGGTTGCTGCCATATCTTGCATCTGTGAATAATACTGCAATGAATATGAAGCTGCAGATACCTCTTTAAGATATTGATTTTGTTTCCTTTGAATACATTCCCAGAAATGGGATTGTTAGACTACATGGTAGTTATGTTTTTAAATTTTAAGTAGCCTCCATACAGTTTTTCTTAATTGCTGTACCAATTTATAATCATACCAATAGTGAATGAGGGTCCTGTTTATCCAAATCTTTACCAATTCTTTTGTTATTATTTGTTTTCCTCATTGAGTTTATTGGTACATTTTAGGTATACAGTACAGTTACATTCATCATTGGGATCTTGTACCCTTACATGACAGGTCTTGATTCTCATTTTTTCCCCTTGTCTCTGACCTCCCTTCACCCCCTACTCCCTTCCCTATTTATTGGTACATTAGGTATACAGTACAGTTACATTCATCATTGGGATCTTGTACCCTTACATGACAGGTCTTGATTCTCATTTTTTCCCCTTGTCTCTGACCTCCCTTCACCCCCTACTCCCTTCCCTATTTAAGAAAACTTTATTTTCATTTTCTCATATTTTTTCCTTTTCCTTTATTTCCTTTCCTCCACTTTTCCCACTTCTCCTACTGTTATTATTTTTTAACTTTTTGATAATAAGCATTCTATCTGATGGGGAGGTGTCACTTTGATTTGCATTTTATGAATGATTCTTGATTGTTCCCTATCTTTAAAAAATTTTTTCACTTTTCATTAAGTTTATTGGTACATTCTAGGTATACAGTACAGTTACATTCATTACTGGGATCCTGGACCTAAACATGACAGGTCTTGGTTCTCATTTTTTCCCCTTGTCCCTGCCCTCCCTTCACTCCCTCCTCCCCCCTCCCCATTTACAAACACTTTATTTCATTTTTTCATTTTCACCTATTTTTTTCTTTTCCCTTATTACCTTTCCCCTAACCTTCCCACTTTCCCCACATCTTTCGCCCTTTTCTTCCTATTTCACATTGTTAATTATCCCATTAGGATCTTGTGTACTAGTACAGTTTTTCACACCAGAGAAACTGTTTACACATGTGTGACTTATTTCACTTAAGAGTATATCCTCAATATGTATCCATTTTCTTATGAATTATTATCTTATTTCTCATTCTTTATGGCTGAGTAGTAGTCCATTTTATAGAAAAACCACATCTTCTTTATCCAGTTTCCAACTGATAGGCTAATGGGCTGTTTCCAAGTTTTAGCTATTAAAAACTGTGCTGCTATAAACATAGGTGCTCATATATCACTGTGTTATGATTCTTTTAATTCTTTTGGAAAGGTACCCAGCAGAGCTATGGCTGGGTCAAATGGAACCTCTAGTCCTAGCTCTTTGCGGTATCTCCATATTGATTTCCATAGTGGTTGCACCAGTCTGCACCCCCACCAACAATGGAGAAGGGTCCCTTTCTCCCTCCAGTCCCACCAACATTTGTTATTGATTGATTTCTTGATAGCAGCCATTCTTTGTGGGATGAGATGGAATCTGAGTGTTGTTTTCATCTGTATCTCGAATGACCAGTGACGTGGAACATTTTTTTCATACATTTATTTTCTGCTTTTACTTCTTTGTCTGAGAAATGTCTGTTCATTTCAGATGCCCATTTTTGAATTGGGTCTTTATATTTGGGGGACTGATTTTTTTTTAGTTCTCTAAATATTCTACATAATAGTCCTTTGTCTGAGGAGCATCTGGTAAAAAGTTTTTCCCATATTGTAGGTTGTCTCTTAATTCTGTTGATGGTTTCTTTTGCAGTGCATAAGCTTTTTTTTTTTTTTAATTGAGTTTATTGGTACATTTAGGGATACAGTACAGTTACATTCATTGTTGGGATCATGTACCTTTACATGGCAAGTCTTGATTCTCATTTTTTCCCCTTACCTCTGCCCTCCCTTCACCCCCTCCTCCCCTCCCCATCTACAAACACTTTATTTTCATCTTTTCATTCTCTCACATTTTTTTCTTTTCCCTTTTTGTTCTTCTCCTACGTATTACACCTTCCCTACACCTTTAGCTCCTTTCTTCCCATTTCTAAATGCATAAGCTTTTTAATAAGATTAGATCCCAGTTGTTGATTCTTTCTGCTAGTTCCTGTGCTACTGAGGATTTGTTCATAAAGTCTTTTCCTATGCCAATGTCTTCAAGAGTTCTGCCTAATTTATCTTCCAGCAAGTTTTAGTGTTTCTGTTTTAATATTTAGATCTTTAATCCACTTGGATTTTAATTTAGTGCATGATGACAGATAAGGGTCTAGCTTTAATCTTTGGCAGGTTGAGGTCCAGTTTTCCTGACACCATTTATGAAAGACGATATCTTTCCTCCAGGGTGGATGGTGTGCTCCTTTGTCAAAGATGAGGTAGCAGAGTACATCTGGAGTTGTTTTTGTATCTTCCAGTCTGTTCCACTGATCCTCAAGTCTGTTTCTTTGTCAGTGCCATGCTGTTTTGCTCCCAGGGGCTTTGTAGCATAGTTTCAAGTTGGGAATTGTTATAGCCACTACCATGTGTCTGTTGCCTAGGATGGCTTTTGCTATTCTAGGTCTCTTATGGTTTCAATGAATTTTTGGATTCTTCTTTCTATTTCTATGAAATGTAGTGTTGGAATTTCAATTGGCATTGCATTGAATCTGTATAGCAGTTTTGGTACTATGGCCATTTTCACTATGTTGATTCTTCCTATCCACGAGCAGGGGATATCTTTACATTTTCTTATATCCTCTTTGATCTCTTTTTTCAGAGTGTTGTAGTTTTCAGTGTAGAGGTCTTTTGCTTCTTTCATTAGATTGATTCCTAGATACTTCAATTTATTGGATGGTATTGTGAAAGGAATTGTTTCCCTAATTTCTCGCTCAGTGACTCTGTTATTTGTGTAAAAGAAGGCTATAGGTTTTTGCATGTTGACCTTGTACCCTGTTACTCTGCTGAAAGTACCAATTACTTCAAGAAGTCTTTTGGTGGAGTTTTTTGGGTCTTCAATGTAGAGCATCATATCGTCAGCAAATAATGACAGTTTAAATTCTTCCTTTCCTATCTTTATTTCTTTAATTCCTTTCTCTTGTCTAATTGCTGTGGCTAATGTTTCCAGAACTATATCAAAGAGGAGTGGTGATAGTGGGCATTCTTGTCCTGTTCCTGATTTTACCGCGAAGCTATTACAAACTGTGCCGCTATAAACATGGGTGCGCATACTTCTCTGTGATATGATTCT